TGCTATCTCTCAAAAACGCATTTCGTGCGAGACTTCCTTCAAAACTCCATCGGCAACTCATCCGGCAGCACCACTTGCAATCGCATTTGCATTGCGGGAACAATCAATGCCCTAACTAACTCTTTCTTTGACTATTCCTTTCCCCGACGAACTCTTTCTTTGACTACCTCATATATCCTGACTAACTCTGTCTTTGACAAACTCTTTCCCTCACGAACTCTTTCTTTGACTAACCCTTTCCCTAACTAACTGTTTCTTTGGCTAACTCTTTCTTTGACTAACTTTTTCCCTGACTAACTGTTTCTTTGACTAACTCTTTCCCTGACTAACTGTTTCTTTGACGAACTCTTTCCCTGACTAACTGTTTCTTTGACTAACTCTTTCTTTGACTAACTCTTTCTTTGACTAACTCTTTCCCTGACTAACTCTTTCCCTGACTAACTGTTTCTTTGACTAACTCTTTCTTTGACTAACTCTTTCTTTGACTAACTCTTTCCCTGACTAACTGTTTCTTTGACTAACTCTTTGTTTGACTAACTCTTTCTTTGACTAACTCTTCCCCTGACTAACTGTTTCTTTGACTAACTCTTTCTTTGACTAACTCTTTCTTTGACTAACTCTTTCCCTCACTAACTCTTTCTTTGACTAACTCTTTCCCTGACTACTGTTTCTTTGACTACTCTTTCTTTGACTAACTCTTTCTTTGACTAACTCTTTCCCTGACTAACTCTTTCTTTGACTAACTCTTTCCCTGACTAACTGTTTCTTTGACTAACTCTTTCTTTGACACACTCTTTCCCTCACTAACTCTTTCTTTGACTAACTCTTTCCCTGACATTCTAAAAGTCCGTAACACGGAAGTTTCTCCTACTAAACTTCCTTTGATAATATACTATTTTTTTTAAAATTGAACTCAATATCATTCAGTTTGTAAAAATCTCTAAAAGGAACTACGACAAATTCATAAAATATACCATAATAAAAATACGAACAAAAAAGGAAGAAACAAATAAGGTAATTCAAAGCTTGAAAAATCAAATTAAACCTCCTGAAATGCCACATAACTATTACTATAAGAACAGGGAAAAAATAGCCACAACTGGCTGCACCGGCCCTCGCCCAGAGGGATTGTTTTGAACAACATAAGTCGTGAACGCCAAAAAGGGCTACAGAAATCTCCAGTCTTCAAAAGTCAGAGTCATAAGGAAGGAGCCCTAACGAGTATCTTTTCGGATATTAACTTCAAAATCCATCGATAGATAACAAAACTGGATGTTCTGTCCCAAGTTCTGTATGTTTTGTCTTGTGGACAATCACACAATGGCCGGGGAACAGAACTATGCAGGAAGGAGCCTCTCATTCAGAGCATCATCAATAGCAGGCCGACGGTCAAAATAAAGGCCATCTATACCTGCATTTTGCCTCGCCGCCGCAATGCACCGCGGGCACGCCAAGATCGTATCACCATACAAGCTTCTTACAACAAGATCGCGCTTCCTAATAAAAACAATTTCATCTTTATAAAAATAATAATTATAAAAAAAAATCAAATTCAAAATATTCACCGAAAGAAATTTAGAAGTCAAATTTCCAATAATATGGACAGATGAAAAATAGAGGAGGGAAAAGGCAGAGAGATAAAGAAGATCAAAAGGAAAGAAGTGCCAGGAAGCAGATTTCCAAGTTAAAATATACGATATCAAAAAGTATACGTCATTGTGGCGTAAAGCATATTTGCAAGTCAAAATATACACAATACATCAGGTTCGGTCCACTTTTGGAAATTCAAATATCGAAAAAATACACGCCGCCGTTATGGCGCGAAAAACTTTTCGAAATCAAAGAATTAAAAACACCAGGGACTCGGACCACTTTTGGAGGTTAGAATATCGCTTCGCTTCAATTTACTACACTACAAGATATTTTAAAAACTACATACCAATACACTACATTACACTCCAATACACTCCAGAACATTAAATTGTACTACACCACACTACATTACATTGAATAACACTGCAACACAGATAGACAGGTAGACAACTAGACAGATGAAAGGGAGAGATAGATAGACAGCTAGGTAGATAGGCAATTAGATAAAAGCGAAAGAGAGAGAAAGAGAGGCCAACTGGGTAGATAAAATAGATAGATGGCTAGATAGATAGACAGACAGAAAAACAGACAGATCGATAAACAGATAGGTAGATAGATAGATAGACAGATAGATAGATACATCGATAGATACATAAATCGATACATGGAAAGATAGATAAATACATAGAGAGATAGATAGATAGACAAAATAGATAGATCGATAAATAGATAGATATGCAGAAATACTCAATTACCTTTCGATCCATAAGTGACTTCGCTCTGCCATCCCTAATTCACAACAACCAACCTCTCCTATAGGTTTCCTATTTTTAAAACTTCCACCACCGCCTTATACGGTATTACTATTACTGGTAAAAAAAATATTAAAAAAAAAATCTAAAAATTATATCCGAATCAAATATCAAAATTTATTTAAATTAATTTCTAAAAACATATTTATAAATATATCAAATAAAAATTACCAAAAACATTTTTCCTTTTCTAAAAAAATCTACCCACAGAGATAAGGCGTATACTTAAAGCAAATAATTCAACATTCAAACGCACAAAATGTTGAACTGGAGGAAAGTGATAAAGCAAATGAAATTCACCACAGAAACTGTGGTTGCTTTTTTACCAGATCTGAAAATGAAACGATGATTCTTCGCCCTGCAATCGCAAACCCTTCCTGAGATTGGACCTCCCACGACACAATCGAGACTTCACGTTCTACACGCTCCGTCCATGTCCGTCCAATGAACATCGAAACATATCGAAACCAAAATGGATCTTTGGCCTCACTGCACATGGCCGAGGGCACTTGCACAGCGAGGTGCTGTGAGCAAACTTTCCACTGTGGGTTCCAAATGGACTGCAACCGTTTTGCACCGGTGAGCCTGTACACACATACACATGCGGAAGGGGCACCTTGTCAACATGCACATGTTATGCAGCTTTGCCAGAGCTGCCATGCGTTACATGGAGTGCCTCAATTCGCAGATCATTCTAAGAGTCTATGACTCTCCCCGAACTTCTTCGGAAGCTCGACCTACATCCTCTGAAACCGAATGCAGTTGTATGTAGTTGCCGTGGCGACACTGCAGTGGCCGCTAGCATCAGTGGCATCGGCGCAAAAGTGGTGAAGCACTATCAATTGTCCTTGGCAAACTGCTGGTGCAGGATATGGGCAGCACACAGCTTGCACATTTTGCACTCAACCTGACTTGCGAAATTTTGGCCCTTCGCACGCCGGGGAAGTTCCAGCAAGGAATGTTGTACTATTTTGCCTAATGGGGGTTGCGGTGAAGCCGCACATTTTCTCAAATCTTTGAGTTCGCCCTCACTTGCCGCCCTTTTCAACTGATTTCACTGATGTACCCTGATTTCGACGGTCAACACTTCTAGCTCTCAGCTCTTCTCAATTCTTCTCAACTCGTTTCAACTCTTCTCGCCTCTAAACTCTTGTCAACTCTCCCCAATTCTTCCCAGCTCTCCTCATCTCGCCTTTGCAGCTCTTGTCAGCTCTTGTCAGCTCTTGTCACCTCTTCACAATCTTTTCTAATTCGTCTCACCTCGTCTCAACTAGTCTCACCTCTTCTCAGCTCATCTCACCTCTTCTCGACTCTTCTCACCTCTTCTTACCTCTTCTCGCTATTTCTTCAAGCTATGACTATCCTGAACCGTTACCACCATGTTGGGAAAAAAACAAGCGCGGCCAAAACAACCGATGCACTCGATGCACTATGCCATTGGGAAGGTCCAAGCTTCAGGCGCAGCGACGCTGCAGACGGCGCAGACGCATGCGCCGAAGATCTTGTTGAAAGATGTTGCAAGGCATTGCCGCATTGCCTAAGATCACTTAAGATCAAGGTGCAAGAAATTGCAAGAACAAGTCACCTGGACACCTCAGTTAGAGTTACATCAGTTACAGTGCGCACGCGGTTCCACTGCACAAAGTGGCTCAACACTGCAAAGCAAAACACAGCGACATACAGCGACAAAGTCCAGCGACAAAGTAGCAAAACACGACAAACAACAAATGACCTGGACACCTCAGTTAGAGTTTGCGTGCTCGAGTGCTCGAGACTGTTTCCTACCGTACTTGCAACCGTCGTGCAAGCGAGCTTGCTTCTCTCAGTGGAAGGTGTGACCATAAAACACAATGTTTCGCGCAAATCCTAACATCTCCCTGTCTCATCTTGGATGTAGCAGTTCCAAGGCGATCTGCCTCAACTCTCCTCTGTTTTCTCAATACTTGAGGAACATGCCAACTGGACTTAAAAGCATTTTGGGCAATGCTAATGTTCACTTTGCATAACTCGGAGCTTCTTGAAAAATACAATATTTTCCCCCCAAGTGAACCCAGTGTTAAGAAGAATATCTGCTGACACAAACAAATCATGAAACAACATCTGCAAGATCTCATACCAGGGCTCTAAGAGAATCCCACAAGACCGTCATACAAGGACCTTGTTCAGCTCCCCACCTTGCAACCACAGCCTGCTAAGAGCATCCCACAAGAGCTTGCATACAAACACCTCTCACAGGCTATCTTCCAGATTGTGGAAGGACCTCTACAAGACCTTGTCACAAGCACCTATAGGACCTATGACAATGTCGCAAGATCGTCAAAAAACGGACCTTCTAAAGGATCCTCCAAGATCTTCATGCCATAGCCCCTGAGAGCGCGTCCCGTAGCTACCATACAAGCACCTCTCAACAAGATATCTTCGTAAACTCAAGATCTTCGTAAAATGGTTCAAATGACATCAAATGACCTCTTAGCCTTAGATGATTCCATTTCAGCAAGATCTTCTCACAAGGACCTCGACAATCTACAAGATCTTGGGCACGATCTTCACACAGGGATCTGACCCTATGAAAATCTCACAACGTCATCTTAGAAGGATTTGATCTAGGCAATTCCTACGATATCTTTACCAAGATCTACTAAAATCAGCGCCGCGCTGCAATGAGAGTGAGTTAACATGCACGAAGTGACAAGAGGCTTGCGCGAGATCAAAATCGGCATCGAGTCACAACAACTTCCGATGTTCATCGCTTTTCAGCATCGTTTGCAACAAGTATGCAACAAGTATTGCGCCTGCCACACGGAAAAAAAACCCGAAGCTGAGAGATCCGAAGTTTGGCACTTGTCATGCAGAATGATCACGACATATCACGACGTGGCCAATTGATGCCAATTGAAAAATGCCGGCAGCCTTGCAAAACGACCGTTTCGAGTTTCGAGCCTTTCAAAGGGGTGCCCAATTTCACCAAATACTGCGCCTGCCACGAAGATGAGCATGATGAGCTCCGACAGCATCACTCACTTTGACATATTTTGACCCATGCCGCGAAGTACTGTGCCTTGCACACGCGTGAAGGTCCTATGTCTTGCACCTGCCACAAAACGGAGTTCTGACTATCCAATCTCATGCACCTCATGCGCCTGCCACACAAAACAATGTAAAAAATACATAGCCGACATAGCCCCAAAAGCAGACACGGTCCGGCAGGCAGCTGCAAGAGGTCTGCAAAACCACCTTTCGAGACTTTGAAGATCAAGATGATCGAGGAACTCTCGTGCTGTAAGGTCACCAAATTAGCCCAAACCTGCCCTCGATCAACCCACCTTAACTGCCTTAACTATTGAATATTGCCGTAACCCTATAGTGTGAACACACTGCTTGGAGTAATCACCAAAAAACTCAAAGATCAGCTTCAAGTTGCTCCTCAAAGGTTGCAAACAGTCAAAATGCCACCTTGGATCACAATACATCTGGTTTTTGCAGTCCGGTAGGGCTTCTATTTGCAATTTCTGGCTCACTTTCCCTCTGGGTCCACGCATGGCATGAACGTGAATCTGGCATGTGGCGAATGACCAAAGGTTTGACAACATTTGGTGGTTTGACCAGAAACGACATTTGCAAAATGAAGCGGCCGGCTGAGTGCGGGAGGAACTGAAGGAGCATGAATGAGAACGCAGAAAAATCCCTATGAAAAACTGTGAAACTATATGAATTTCACCAACGGAGTGCTCTGAATGCAACTTAGTCACGCCATGCTTCAAGCTGCAGCCTCTGACCAAAAGCCAAACAAAGCAAGACAGGCGCTACGAACATGCAATTTCATGCAAATTCATGCAAGATCATGCAAGCAAAACAAGATAAAACCGTTCGTAAAACATCTGCTACTATCTGGTTACTATCTGCCTGGCCCGGAGTCCATCTCCACAGGTGTTGTCTCGGCTACGTCCTTTGCCCATCTTCCCATATCTTCCCGTGACTTCCCAGCCTTCGCACATCTTAGCACTTTGAGACAGCCTGACGCTCCATGCGCTGGAAGACCAACCTCTGCTCCAGGTCCTGAAGTGCTGAACGATGTTGAACGATGTTGAACGTGTGCTTCAGATTGCAACATGCTGCACAAAAGTTGCACAAAACTGCCGAGTCGAATCAAGTCGAGCATTCCAAGCCTTAGATTTTGTCGCAAGTTCTGTTGCAACTGTTTGGCTCTGATGCAAGTGGCAGTGTCCTATGCAGAGTCCTATCCGGGTCCTATGAGGTTCTTGCCAAATCTCTTCTGCGTTGGATTTTGCGTTTGTGTTTGGAAGCGTTGCAAGGGAAAACCCTTTCAATGACAACAACCTCTCTGAATAGAAAATAGACAGCCGCATAGTACCTCTGCAATACCTTCTCTTTGTGCGGGTTTTCGTAATTTGTCGCATATATTCATACATGTCCAGCGAACTAGTCTTGTTTCTCATGATGGCTTCAATCACCTTCACCTGTCTTTTGTGATTGCCTTTTGTGATTGCTGAAGGGTGCTAAAGGAGTGAGATAGTCCAAACATGGAAAGGAAATTGTGGAAGAGTTGCTTGCCGTGAGGCTATTTTACATGCCTCACTCAGTTGAAGAACACCTTGCATAGATGTCCTCGTAGGTCACTTGCCTTCTCAGCTGCTTTTTAGTGCCATGCCTCTCGAGGTCTTCTGCCATGGGCACAGGAACTACTTGAATGTGCATTCGAATCATATTAAGAGGTATGCCTCACACACACATGTATATATACAATCAATATAGAACAAAAAACAAATCATGCATGAACACATAATCACACACACAGACGTCACATGTCTATAATAATATAGTTATAATCTATCTATCTATTGTATAGATCGATCGATTGATGTGTCCATCCATCTATTCTGTGAAACTTTACCCCAGTCAGTAGAGAATTGTAATATGAATTGCATGAATTGCATGAATTGCATGCTTTCAGATCTTGTCAACATCTCAAGGAGGCATGATACTCATGATACTCATAATACTCATGATAGCCGCAGCCACGAAGCTCTGGTGGCATGAGACGCAGAAATTGGGGGGAGTCTATGAAAACCTATGAAAGCATCGAAGCCAGAACGTCCGAAGCGCCTATGCAGCCTATGCAGCCTATGATTTCATGAAACCCTTCCAAACTCTCGTGACTATTAGTGACTATTTGTTGTCCAAGAAAGTGCGGTCCTGACATGGATCTGACCTTTGAGGACCTTCCAGGACTTTACAGGCTAAATCTTCCATTGAGTTTTACAGAATGTAAAGCGAAAATTTTATTTACAGAATTTACAAAAGAATAAAAATAGTACAAAAATGGACAGTTCTATTTAACTATTTTAACATACATTGGATAACATTTTTTTGTTATAACCATACTATGTTAAAATAAAACTATATAAAAACACGTTCTGAACATAAAAACTTTCTAATATAAAAATATATAATATATATTGTATATATAATATATCGATTTCGTATTTTTGTTTTACTTTTTCTGTTTCACTCGGAACCCTGGGACCTGTTGGACCTGTCGCCGAGGCGCTGGATGCGTCGGAAACCCATGCTGCGACTCACCACGTCTTGCCTCGGCACCGCAACATTGAACGTTACAAGTGGTAGGTATAGGTAGATAGTTAGATAGGTAGATAGGTAGATAGGTAGATATAAATGTTAAAAACATTAAAAGATGGTTTAAAAACATGTCTTCATGTCTTTTTCCAATGTTTCCTGACCTTTCAACAAACACCGTTTTAGACATTTTTATACATCTCCAACGTCACCTCTTCAAAACTCACAAGGTAAACTCACAAACTTTTCACAAACTTTTCGTTCAGAACATTTTTTTCAATGTTCTCAATATTCTCAATATTCATTTCATTCATTTTCATTAATTTTCATTCATTTCATTTTACATTTTACATTTTTTTACATTCATTAGCTTTTCTATCTCTTTTTTCGATTTTTGCGACTCGATTTTCGATTCGATTTCGTATTTTCATTATTTGTATTATTTTCACTATTTCTATGATTTGTCACTATATGATGTCATTATATGTATATTATTTGTAATCATTATGCTTACATATGCTTACATATGCTCACACTGTATTGTACAACACCATTGTGGAACAGCTGAATAGCTGAATAGCTACCTCATGACCGAAACTCAAAATCGCTAAGGGCCAATCTCTCAAAACGAGAAACAACCAAAACGCTTACACAATGTCAAACATGGCCAGTTTAGAAGGAAACATTGTGATTCAGATTGTGATTAAGCATGGGTCTAACCAAACATAACACAGCAGCATAGCAGAACCTTTCTCAGGTCAACATGAGTCAACATGTACAAGTGGAGGCCCAAAACATGATGACCTGATTTTGAAGAAATTCTCGAAAATAACGAAACCATCAAACAACATTAAATAGATTAAATATCTGTTTCCAGCCTTGAACCTTCTGTTGGAGTCTTCATCGTGTTCTGAGTTGCCTATTAACCAAGTCTTTTACTTTCAAATCCTCAGAATCCTCAGAATCCAACGGGTCCTCCCCGGTCCTCCCCGGACCTCCCCGGTTGCAGCTGAGGGGTTTCTTGCAAGGATCGCTCATAGTCAGCCGCAAGGCCACCCAAAGCTGTTTCTCGATACCGTTTGTCCATTGCGCTTCCTGTCTCCTCGGTTGTGACATGTTGTGACTTAAGAACCATCCATGCTTCTTCATTGCTTCTTCATGCTTCTTGAGTCATAGTAATATCGCATGCTTCTTGCACTGCGTTTTGATTGTGCAGGCGTGTGCAAGCTGTGTTTATATTTCCCATGTCAAAAATGCAACCTTTCTTTGTCTATTCTTTTCATGTTTGGACCTTCCATATCACAATTGCTATCCGGACACTCTCTTCTGCAGTCTATCTGCATGAATCTGCTAGTTTTTTTCAAGTGTGTAATATGGCTATGGCTAATATGGCTATGGCTAGCCGCCCATATGTAATCTTTGCGTAATCGAAAAACGTCATCAAAAAACCTGTCTGACTTTGTGACTTTGTGACCATTCTGATGTCCTTCTGACGTCCTGACGTCCAGCGGAGTCCAGTGTCCTTCATCACACGGAGTACACCGTCCAGGTCCAACAAACTCTGAGAGGCACCGGAGCGAACCAAGGCTACAGCGTTCACAGCCTGTTCGAACGTATGTCAAAGATCAAGAAAAACTAGACGACGGATGGCCCGAGAGCGTAGAGGAGCAGAGTCTTCTGTTGTTAGTATGGAGACACTATATTACAAGATAATATGATAAAGATGTATTATAGGCAGACGAGAAGAGTAGTATCAAGACAATGTATGACTAGTACAAGACAATCGTTTGCATCGTATTTTTGTAAAATTTTTCATACACAGAACTTTTTACAGACAGACGCTTTTGCACACAGAGACTTTTACACACAGACGCTTTTACACACAGACGATTTTGCACACAGAGACTTTTACACCCAAACACTTTTACACACAGAGACTTTTACACACAGACGATTATGCATACAGAGACTTTTACACCCAAACACTTTTACACACAGAGACTTTTACACACACAGACGCTTTTACACACAGAAGCTTTTACACACAGACGCTTTTACACACAGACGCTTTTACACACAGACGCTTTTACACACAGACCCTTTTACACACAGACGCTTTTTACACACAGGCTCTTTTACACACAGACGCTTTTACACACAGACGCTTTTACACACAAGCGCTTTTACACACAGACGCTTTTACACACAGACGCTTTTACACACAGACGCTTTGACACACAGACCCGTTTACAGACAGAGGCTTTTACACACAGAAGCTTTTACACACAGACGCTTTTACACACAGACGCTTTTACACACAGACGCTTTTACACACAGACGCTTTTACACACAGAGGCTTTTACAACCACACACACGCTTTTACACACAGACGCTTTTGCACGCAGACGCTTTTACACACAAACACTTTTACACACAAACACTTTTACACACAAACACTTTTACACACAGACGCTTTTACACACAGACGCTTTTACACACAGACGCTTTTACACACAGAGGCTTTTACACACAGACGCTTTTACACACAGACGCTTTTACACACAGACGCTTTTACACACAGAGGCTTTTACACACACAAGCTTTTGCACACAGACGCTTTTGCACACAGACGCTTTTACACACAAACACTTTTACACACAAACACTTTTACACACAAACACTTTTACACACAGACGCTTTTACACACAGACGCTTTTACACACAGACGCTTTTACACACAGACGCTTTTACACACAAACACTTTTACACACAAACACTTTTACACACAGACGCTTTTACACACAGATGTTTTTACACACAGACGCTTTTACACACAGACGCTTTTACACACAGACGCTTTTACACACAGACGCTTTTACACACAGACGCTTTTACACACAGACGCTTTTACACACAGAAGCTTTACACACAGAAGCTTGTACACACAAACACTTTTTACATACAAACACTTTTACACACAGAAGCTTTTACACACAGTTGCTTTTACACACAGACGCTTTTTTACACACAGACGCTTTTACACACAGACGCTTTTACACACAGACGCTTTTACACACAGACTTTTACACACAGACGCTTTTACACACACACGCTTTTGCACACAAACGCTTTTGCACACACAGTCTTTTACACACAGACGCTTTTACACACAGACGCTTTTACACACAGTCCGCACAAGTAAAATCGCAATTTTTTCGTGCGAAAGGGTCAGTCGCAATTTTTCCTCAGACGATCGACCCTCATTTCGTGCGAAAGGGTTGCTCCAGGACAAGTAAACTCGCAATTTTTCCTCAGTTTTTGACGATCGACCCTCATTTCGTGCGAAAGGGTTGCTCCGGCACAAGTAAAATCGCAATTTTTCCTCAGTTTTTGACGATCGACCCTCATTTCGTGCGAAAGGGTTGCTCCATTTCGACCTTCATTTCGTGCGAAAGGGTTGCTCCGGGACAAGTAAACTCGCAATTTTTCCTCAGTTTTTGACGATCGACCCTCATTTCGTGCGAAAGGGTTGCTCCGGGCAAGTAAACTCGCAATTTTTCCTCAGTTTTTGACGATCGACCCTCATTTCGTGCGAAAGGGTTGCTCCGGACAAGTAAACTCGCAATTTTTCCTCAGTTTTTGACGATCGACCCTCATTTCGTGCGAAAGGGTTGACAAGTAAACTCGCACTTTTACCTCAGTTTTTGACGATCGCCGCCGGACACCACCCTCGGCCTTAAGAGAGAAAGATAAAGAAGGCGAGAGAGAGAAAAGGGAGAGAGAAAGGAGAGAAGATGTGAAGATGAGCTGAAGATGAGCAGATGTGAGAGAAGATGTGAAGAACAGCAGATGTGAAGATGAGCAGATGTGAGAGAGCAGATGTGAGAGAAGATGTGGACATGAGCAGATGTGAAGATGAGCAGATGTGAGAGAAGATGTGAAGATGAGCAGGTGTGAGAGAAGATGTGAAGATGAGCAGATGTGAAGATGAGCAGATGTGAGAGAAGATGAGCAGATGTGAAGATGAGCAGATGTGAGAGAAGATGTGAGAGAAGATGTGAAGATGAGCAGATGTGAGAGAAGATGTGAAGATGAGCAGATGTGAGAGAAGATGTGAAGATGAGCAGATGTGAGAGAAGATGAGAGAAGATGTGAAGATGAGCAGATGTGAGAGAAGATGCGAAGATGAGCAGATGTGAAGATGAGCAGATGTGAGAGAAGATGTGAGAGAAGATGTGAAGATGAGCAGATGTGAGAGAAGATGTGAAGATGAGAAGATGTTTTACAGACCCCCACTATTGGAAGAACCCTGCGCTCAGACGCCCTCGGGAATAAAAAATAAAGATCAAAATTCTAAAAATACCTAAACATGTTAAACATGTTCAGATCTTAATGTTTGTAATATGTTGATTAGCCCACATAATGCTTATAACGTGGGAAAAAACTGGGGCACGGTGCGCGGCACCGAGGCTGGCACGGTCAGGGGCTGGAAATCAAGAAAGTGGGGGCTTGACCGCATGGACGATGCTTAGATCCCATTAGGGAAAAAATGATAATACATCACAAAACAGTACCCAGGACTACCCTGGACTACCCAGGAACTGGTCACACCAGTTGCGCTAAGCATTGGGGACAGTTGAGCATTGTGACCAAAATGCCACCTTCAGACCAGTTATGATAAGCATTGCAGCCCTGTAATGCTTATTGTAAGTGGTCCGATGTTCCTGGGCAGTACCTGGGTACTAACCCCTACCTAGCTTTACCCAGACAGTACCCAGGAATTACCCAGGAATCACAAACCAGTTGAGCTAAGCATTACAGGGCTGCAATGCTTATCATAACTGGTCTGAAGGTGGCATTTTGGTCATAATGCTTAGTGCAACTGTCCCCAATGCTTAGTGCAACTGGTATGACCAGTTCCTGGGTAGTCCTGGGTAGTCCTGGGTAGTGCAGGGTAGTCCTGGGCACTGTTTTGTGATGTATCATCATTGTTTTCCCTAATGGGATCTAAGCATCGCCCATGGTTTTGTGATGTATCATTGTTTTTCTCAAATGAAATCCAAGCACCGCCAAAAATACCAGAATTAGCGCCCAAGAACCCGGAATTAGCGCCCAGGAACCCAGAATATGCTTTTCACGTTATAAGTACAGGGGTCAACCATGTAATATGTTTTAATTCATATTGCAATATTCCAATCAAGGTCAAACGTATGTCAAACATACTCGAACAAATGCAAAGATATGCCACATCTATCTCTCTCTCTCGCTCTCTCTGCTGCATTGAATTTCAGCTTTTTGTCCATGTCAAACAATCTTGCTACGCATATTGTGACACGTTAAAACTTTTGTACTAGAACTCTAGAATCTAGAACCTGATTTTTTCCGCAATTGTTGGTTTTTGCTATGATTTTACCCTGTTTTTTGTTTGATTTTTACGGATTCACATCAGCCTTGGTGGCGCCCATGGAGTTGCGCTCAATGCATGGAGCCTGCGAAGCTGAGAAACTGAAACTCGACGTTTCTTGACGTCGATGTCCGGATGTATACAAAACTATACAATCGGAAAACAAGTCCGTATACCCAAAAAAACCTCCCACATCTCCAACAATTCACTCTTCCCCACATGCCCCGGCATGTCCGCCTGAACCAAACCCAGGACTGGATCACACGTCATTCCCAAGCTGTGTTCCAATGCGCTGGTCGCAGCTGCTGCCACCTGAGGCCATGCCACGCAAACACCATGGAAACACTTGGAAGCGTTTAGACAGTCTAAATCAATGGTTTTCTGCAAATATTGGACCAGAAATTGTGTATATATAATATATAATATAATTCATACTGTGGGGTTATGAGTTATGAGCAAAGGCGTCAACAGCGCCCTGAGCTGCCAACAGGTTTTCTTGAGCCATAAGCGGAGCAGCGTTGGTATAGCCATGCTGCAAGTTTCAACTGCTATGTCACACATGTACAGCTGTCGGTGAAAATGAGTAATGGAGACGGAGACCTTTCATCATCCACAACCCCCCTTGCCACTATGGCAAGTCACCATTGGTAAAAACTACACGAGCTCAGACGCTCGAAAGTTCACTCCAACCCTTGCTCAGTTCACCTTCTTCCGGTTGAAGTTCCCCATCTCGGCGATGGGGACCATCTACAGGATTAGGGCTGGTCTTGTAATGCTTTCGGGGTTACCGGATTCCCCATTTGAGTTGCCGGATTCATCTTCCCTCGGCGTTCTTTTTCTTTTCAGACAGCAGAGGTGATGTTTCCGCCTTTGAACTTATGCCAGTGGCTACAGCGCAGATACCTACCTCCCTCACAGTCTTGTGCTCTTCTACAGACGGATTCCACTTCTCTAACTCTACAGCTACCGCTAAACCCTTCAGAGCACAGTCCTTGCATATCGCGATCTTCTTCAAACTCTCCAGGTCCCTCTGCTGCCAGTTCCACCCCAGCCATGTGCTTCAGTTTCCATTGCACTGCTTCGTGCAATGCTCTCGAGCGCAGCCTGAGATGCCTTGATCTCCACGGCCCGTTTGGGTTGAGTACTACCTGGATTCCCGATTGGGAATCTCCATATAACATTCGGAAGATGCAGGGATACTTGGCCGTTGTAGTCTCTTCGTGGAGAATCCTCAGGACCCAGCTGAGTACCTTGAGGATGGGTTGGAAAGGGGCTACCCGTCATTCTGGGAATGGGTAGAAAGAGCGGACTTCATGCGAAGACAGCCGGACGTCTTCAAGATCCGAGTGGGTCAAGGGGCATTGGGGCATCCAAGACCCAAACCCAGGACGCTCATGACCAATATGGCGCAGTTTCGGGAACTGGACGGCATTAAGGCCTCAGCAGCAGGCGAGGAGATTCAGGAAGATCTTCAAGAGCGCCTGAAGCAGACCGCTCTGTGGTCATCATGGGCAGCAGGCTTGGTCGAGTCACTTAAGATGGTGATTCCCAGGTTTTTGCACGAACAGAATCAGCAGCCAATGCTGCAGAAGCTTGACCTTGAGGGGTGGAAAAACCATCTGCTATCCCAGCACGTTCCGTATAGTCGGGACTGCCGGATTTGCCTGGAAACCATGAACCTCACCGTAGGAAAAAGGGTCAGGAAACTGCTTTTGTGATGTCAGCAGACATCTGTGAGCCTTTCAAGCAGGGAACAGACTTGGGAGTATCCAAGCGCAGGAAGGTGAAGTACGCGCTGATCGCGACCATCCCTGTGCCAAAGTGGCCGACTCCGGGGGAGCAGCAGAAAGTTGACTCTGAGGCTCCGGGGAATGGAGGTGAAAAGGAAAAAGATCTTCCACAAGAGTCGGAACATGGACCTCCTATAGAAGGTCTGGAGGACCTGTTGGAAGCGCCAGACCCTAAAGAGTGGGTTTCTGAGGAGGTCGCGAAAAAGAAAAATTAGGCTTGGCAGATGTTCTTAAAAAGGGAGGCTCGAAGTGCATCAGAAGAGATACTGTTGAAAACCTGACGTTCATGGAACCCATGGCTTCCCGTGAGCAGGAAGAAGTCGTCATGGCTCTTTCCAAGATTCATGGAAGGCGTTTGCGAATCATGGGCCCTTCCCCCTCCATGACCAACGGATGGGTTGCCTTTGACGAAGCTGGCAACCGTGTGCAGCATGCAGGATCGGTCTTTATCCTAGACCCGCTGGGAGAAACTGCTCGACTGGAGCTTGAAGCCGTGGAAAATCCAACTGTCCCGCCACGCAGGTTGTATGGGAAACAGCCTTTGTCTAAGGAAGTTGGAAAAGTTCCACAACCGCCTGCCCGGGTGGTCCAGGTGCCTGCTCAGCGGGAGCTTGAGGCGCCAGGGCCGTGTCAGTTCGAGATATGGCTGATGTATTTATCCCAGAGATGGCTGCACTGGACGAACCAGAGGACGAGTATGAGCCGTCCATTGCAGGTGACTCAGCTGCTGATGTGCCTGTAGGGGATAAAGAGCCAGCTCTCACTGCGTTACGGGCTGGGGGGGAGTCTTTGATGATATAGGTTCAGCAGGAGCTCAAATCCAAGGTTGGGGGGAGATCGACGTCTCTGAACTCCCAGGGTTTGCGGATGAACTTAGATACCAGCACTGGAACTTGAAGTAATCCTTGCTGGAACACTTGAACGTGACAGAGAAGAAGGTGCCGTGCTGGGTGGTTTGGTGCAGCATGTGAACCGTCAGGCGCATAGCCTGGAACGAGACCTGGAGTATTACTCCAAGTGGGAAGAGAAGGAACCAAGATGGCGGCTCTGGGAGGGAAGCTGGCATAAACTCGCTGCTCTTTCGGCGGAAGTCCCAGAAAAGGGAAGAGCGGAAGGGGGTAGCGATGGGCAGAAACCTCCGACGGTCTTACAAACCTATACGGTCCCTTTGAAAATGGTAAAGAAGGATTTGGAGTCCTGGCTGGAACCTATCAAAGCCGAATATCGGCAACTGACCCAGGAAAGCCAGGCGGTAAGACCGGTAAAGTCAAAGAGTTGGAAGCCATGGAAGGCTATCAAACCATGGAGCTAGCACCAAGCAAGTTGGTTACCACGGTTAAATCGCCAAATGGGAAGCGCAAGGCACAGATTGTGATCTGTGGAAACCTAGTGACGAAGGCTCACGAGGATGGTAACAAGACCCAGGCGACTCCAGTGCCGGCAGCGGACTTGTACGCGGGAGGAGCTGACGCCACAGCCATTCGATGCATGGTCAGAAAGACTGCCATGATGGATGGGTGGGACATGGGAGTCCTAGACATCAAGGGTGCGTTCTTACTTGCCCCACGCCGAATGGAGCAGGAGTCCCTGATGATGACCATCGCCGAAGCTGCTTGTTCAGGCTGGGATCTGTCCTCCGGAAGAGCGGTGTGGGGTAGCTTCCGTGACTAAAGGGTCAAGAGATTTGAGCGGAGCTCAAATGGTAGAGTTTTCTGGATGCGTCAAACTGTGGAGCCAAATGTTTGGCAAATCTTGTCAAGTGAGAAGCCACGAAGAGCTGACTCGGATGAACGGGTAGAAGGTTTCACGGGTTCCGATCGGAAGGGTGGAAGATGGTGAAGAATCACCACCAGACCCAAGGCGCAGACTCTCGTTGGGGAGCTCCTGTGGCTCAGCACAAAAACTAGGCCTGATGTGGCGTATGCGGTGAGTTGGCTTGGATCACGGGCATCAAAGTGTCCAAAGAAGGTGTGCCAGGCGGGAATGCAAACCCTGGGGTATCTGAAGCGCACCTTGGGACACCGGTTGCTCTACAAGAAGTGCCAGGAGGCTGACCGAGGGCCTGATGGCAAACTGGCGTTCTGCAGGGATGCCAACACCTTAGAGGTTCATTCGGACGCGTCTTTCGGTCCTGGTGGAGAGAGATCTCACCAGGGTCTTCTTGCAGTCTGGGCTGGAGGACTGATCCAGTGGGAAAGCAAGCGGCAAAGTTTTGCCACCCTGAGTAGTTTGGAAGCTGAGGTGACGTCTTATGTGGACGCTATGTGCCTAGGTGATTCCGTTGCCGTTCTGGTCGGCATCTTCGAGGAGGGGAGATTGACCGAAGATCTCCTGTAATCCCAAAGTCTTCAGCCACAGGGCTGTGTCCCCATCCGTTTTAATCATCTCTTTCTCACTCAGGCCTTCCAGAGAGAAGCAAGATTCCATCCTTCCTCTGAGCGGTCGCGGTCCTGGGCTTCTGTGCCGCAGCCTGCTCACCGTCCGGCACGGGGGACCTGCTGTGATCATTCTGATACGGCCTCTTTCAGCCAAGCTCCAGAGATACGACCATACAGACGCCGAGTGCAAGTCCTCTTGGGAATTCGCAGAGATGTCCAGCGTTAGGACCTCGGTGTCTGCACCTCCCATGGACTGCCATTTCTCTGAATGGGACCCGCAGCCTGCAAACAGATGCAGAACTACTCCCCCCTTGACTCGTTCCAGCCTTCGTCGCCTTCGTCTGTTCCATGGCATAGGCGCCTCAATTTCATCCCACGACACGCCCTGGCCTCTCATCAGTGACCAGATTCTTCTCGGAACTTGTGGGTACTTCTCCTTAGTCGACTTCCTGTGGTGTTGGAGCATACGTGTCCCCAACCCCATTCCTTTCCAGAGAATCCAGCAGTTGCAAGGCTGCTGCTCGGTCCATAACTGGACACCCTTGGCGCATCACGCAGTCCAACCTGCCATGATGAGGGTGGGAGATATCACACCGTTGTCTGCCCCAATCGATTTTGAATCCACGGTCCACCAACAACCTGAGCGGGATTATGGGTTCCACGCTTTCCAGCGCCAAGAGGGTGTTGTGCCAGGGGCACTTGTAGAGAGTAACACTGCCCATAGCCATTTCCACCTGCACAGGCCACAAATGCGGCACCTCTGACGCCTTCGCCTGCCTCAGGGCATGCGTAGCACCTCCGTCCAACAACGCGTACTCTCCCGTCTCATCCCCATCGACCTAGACCGTCTTGAGGAACAACGACTTCACCGACGTCAAGGACTCTACTAACCCACTCAAATTCTGCACCAACCCTCCGACAGCCTCACCTTCCTGCTTCGGCCTTGGAGCTTCAGCTGGTTTCTCTGCTGGTTGATCCTTTCCTTCCGAGGATCCTGCGTCAAGCGTCTTGGGGTCCTTTCCTGAACCCTTTTGACCCTTGGAATCGTGGACCTTAGCAATCTTCTTTTCTGATTTCTGCCCACCATTCCCTTCCTTCGGTTTCACGGTTGGACAATCCTTCTTTCTATGTCCCGTGGATGAGCACAATAGACACCTTGACGATTTTTCCAGGCTGCCCCAGTCATGAGCATGCATACCGGCACTTTCTCGCATCGCCTACACCCTTCACCAGGGCCCCAATGGCTTTGAACCATCCCCAGTCAGAGCCTTCACAGCTGGTGCTACCACTGGCGGCATTACGCCACTAGCTGCCTGACCAGATGTCGCTGCCTTAGGGACAGCCTGAGCATTGGCCAGTTCTTCCAACTCAGCCTGTATATACTTGGTCCATTCCTTCACTTAGTCCAACTGTGGGGCCCTGTCAACATCCAGCTGTTGGCGCATGGTCGCCAACTTGAATGCCACTTGGTTCCGACCCAGCTTGGCAGTTCCTTCTGCGAACTTAGCCAGCACACCTGTCAGCACTAGAGGGTCAACCGTCACACGCAACTCCTCCGATCTCCCCACTGACCTGCGCCAAAGCCTGATCGCACCCAAGGTCTCCACCCAACTCGTTGGTACTTTCACATCGATAATTTCTCGGATTAAACCGGTTCGCTCTCCAGTTCCTCCCGGTTGGTATGTTGTGAACAATCGGAACAAGATCCCGGCTGCCGAAAGTTGCCGTGAGGCAATGGCCTCCTGCCTCAAGGTCTCGGGCATACAGCCCAACAGCATGGAGATGCCTCTCTGCTCGAGCCTGGCGAACTGTTCCACCAGTCTAGGAGCTTCTGGCTTCATCCTCAATTTTTCCAGCGGTGCTGCGGACAGCTACTGCACATAGTGGTGTTCTACGGTGCTTACCGTCTGTGTCAATCCTTGGCGTTTCCAGCCACATCGCACATGATGGGATACACAACTGTCATCCAGTCCCCGAACTGGAGGGATGCATCTTGGCTACCCGGAGCTGGCAACTTCGGCAGCTCCAAGTTCCTTAATGCTTCAATCAACGATGATCCTGGCTGCGCAGGTGTTGCCTGATTTCCCAAAGGATAACCAGACTGAATCCCAGGCGGTGGAGTTGGCGGCCTTCCACCCTGTTGAGGGCTTGGTTGACCTCCACCTTCCGGAACCCACACCCAACCTCCAGTTGGAACATACTGTTGACCACCCAAGGTCTGTCCTCCATCCATGCCACTTGAAGCTGTCTGATACGACTGGGTCTCTTCTGCATCTCTCGCAAAAGCCTCCTCTGCCTCCCGCATCACCCGTTTTCGGATTTCTTCCACTGCCAACGCAGCTGGGTCCACCACTCCTTGGCTTCCTCCCACCCCAGGAACCGGGCTCACCGCAAGACCCACAGATCTCACAGGATCCTGGCTCACCGATGTAGCGGCCTTCACTGCAGGAGCAGGGCTCACCGCCGGAGCGGGAACCGAGCTCACCGCAGTTGCAGCCGCTTGGACTTCATGAACCGGAGTCACCATTACTTGGCTTCCCTCCCTTGGTCCCAATTGGCTAGGTTCAGCCAAGCCTAATGCCTCCTGCTGGACGGCAGCACTCCAAAACGGATGCACTGGCTCGGGTGGAACGGCTGCAGCTCCCATCTCTTATTATAGGTCTGCTCCAAAGATTTCTGCATCAGCGTCAGCGACTGCTGCAGAGATCGTTGCCTCTGCGAAGTTCAGCACGTAGACCTCGTAGAGGAAGTAGAGCGGAAGGATCCCTTGAGATACCTGAGAGCGTTCACAGTCTCCAGGAGAGCGTCCCAATACACGCAGCTGAGTGCCAACTGCACCTGCCGCATCTTGGAATGTTCCCCATAGAAACTGACCAGCCACCAAAGGTCTCGGCATCCCTTCTCCACCTTGCCTCATCAGCTGCTGCTGCCCCACTTCAGCGGGTTGTGCCACCGCTTGTGGCCCCAAGGCTTGTGGTACTCCTCTTCCACAAGGTTGAGCTTCTTCTCGAGGTACAGGCGCTGCCAACTCCAACCTTCGAACTCTAGCCCCATCCTCAGTCCTCAGCGGTACAGAGCGTGCTCTCTGCCTTTCCGCTTGAACTTCGGCAATCCTCCTGTCCAAGGTCTCATCGGCCGTCTCCCCTCGATCTGCGCGTCGACGCTGCATCATCATGGCTATATACTACGCAGCGGTAGCGAGGTTTGGGCTCATAACCTTTGGGGTTATGAACAAGGGCGTCAACAGCGCTCTGAGCTGCCAACAGGTTTTCTTGAGCCATAAGCGGAGCAGCGTTGGTATAGCCATGCTGCAAGTTTCAACTGCTATGTCACACATGTACAGCTGTTGGTGAAAATGAGCAATGGAGACCTTTCATCATCCACAAATACAATTAAATTATGCATATATTCTCTTGTAGCCAAAGGCACACAATTCCATCTCATTGCCGCACAATGATACACATAGGTTGCCACATAATGACACCGAATGTACATTGAACATCGTTGAACTATGTACTCTCATGATGTGTTCTTAATGGTGAACCAAATCATTGGAGAATCCCAGAGATGTTAGACGAATGTGTAGAATAGTGTGGAAACTGTAGACGTTGCCGCCGATTCTCATTGACTCATTAACCACCCTGTAACCATCTGGTGCCTGCTGCGGAGTTCCATTCAGCACAGCCATGAGCCCAGCAGCGGCCTCGAAGGTTTTCGTCACGACTTCTTCCCCCAATATGGATGTGTTTCCGAACAAAACAAATCATTTTTTTGGGTGAATAATGGTGAATATCAGATTTAGATGCATGATGAACAATTTTGATGTTGCTTCAATTCATTTTCGATGCTGAAGGACCACGCTCCTTGGAAAGCTGCGGCGAACCATCTCATGTTTTGTTATTTCTCAGCTGGGCTTTGCGGCTTCCTTTCTGTTCCATTCAGCTCTTCGAATCGTGAAGAGCTATGTGGTTTTGTCTGCGTGTTATACTCGCAAAGGTTGTTGTGATCATATGCTTGACTTTTCCTTGTCTCTTGCTACATGATCATCAACTTGCGTTTCAAATTCCAAAATTCTGCTGTAAATAGAGTTAGTTGACAAGAGTTGACCTGATTCGTACTTGTAACAGTCGTGAATTACGACCCCATAAGAATTGTGGCCGGAGCTTTTGCGTTTTCGACTTCGATGTTTTTCTTTGTGTATCTACGAATCTAGAAGGAACAAGTATGCACATGATAATATTAACTGCACATGAGGGAAACACGATAAACAAATGAGAATGACATTTCCACATAATTGGGGAATGAAAAAAAATGAAAATGAAAATTTCACATGATCGGAGAATGATATGAAACAGGAAAAAAATGAAAAACAAAATGAAAAAAATGAAAAAATAATTCCTTGGTCCGGGCAGTCTGTGGCTGTAAGATTCTCATAACAATAGCTGCTTCAACAGCTTACTTTTTATTCGCTGCATGACAGTCTGTTTTAGTAGCCTGGGGAAAACTCGTCTTAGTTCTCCTCCTTGGATTTCTTCCTCTTTTCTGATGATATTTCGCATATTATTTGATGTATCTTGTATTGTCTTGCCCTTTTGTCTTCCTGTGATCGAACCAGCTCTTCGGTACTGAGTTCGAGCAGCCATCGCAGTGGCAGTGCCCACTTCAGCCTCCACACGCCGAACCAAAAGAGTAAAACAGTCCGCGTCAGCCAAAAGCGTACAGCGTTTCTGAGACATTTCTGACACGAATCAAATTCGAATTCGACTCCAAATTCCGAATCAACCGCGACGGCTCCATAGCGATGGCATGGCATGATGGCATGATGGCATGATCTGCAGCTCCACTTGCTCAGATCCAGCCTGGCAACCTCCTGCTGCACCTGTGCGCTGGAATTCTTCACCACTCATTCGACCAACTTTATCAAACATTCTCTACATCGCCAAATCTCTACAATCAGAAGAGATCAGAAGAGTTTCAACTTTATATCAATATTCAATTAAAAGCATGTAACAACATGTAACAACATGTATCAACTCTTTTCATGTACGAGAAATTGAATCCCTTGTGCGCCTTCTAGGAGATATATACCAGTGCTGAGTCTGCTGTGCGGAGTCTTTTTTAATACGGAACATATGGAATGGACAGATTCAGCTTTCCGATGGGAGACAGCAGTTGCTAAGTTGCTAATGGGAGACAGTAGTTTGTGACGGGTGTGTGCATCAAATATTGAACCCGAGTACCACAAGATTCATGATGTGAGGCATCTCTCGTTTCCCGGCCTGAAATACAAGCGTGTTCCTTCACAAGAGCGCTGGTGGGAAAGTGCGATGAGATGGGAAACGGTAAGCAAATCAAATCCTCTAAGCCCTGCAAACCTCTGTAAACAGCACGGCAGTTGAACAAAGCGCGCGCGCAAACTGTAACGCTACAACAAATTATTCAATGAAGACTTAACTGACCAAACCTTGCGAACCTTGAGCTATGTTTTGGGAGTTCAGTATGAAGGCCTAATCTGGCCCAGTTTAGGACGTTCACTGGCTTTTCCCTATGTATATCTTTGTGCCCAAGTGCCAAAAATTGCCAGACGAACAGAAAAGGACGGGTTTCAAAGAAATCAGACGACAGAATCTGTCCTTGGCAAGGACTCCGATGGTTGCTGCCGTCAGTAGGAAGGTGGCAGGATCGTTTTTCTCAGACTCTGGCTGTGTTGGTCGGAGGTGCCTGAAGCAAAAACAAAACACCTGAAGCAAAAACCATGCAAAAGACATTGCCTCGAAAAGTTGCAGAAAAACCCCGCAATATCCCACAATATAGTCAGATTCTGGTCAGATTCTTGCCAGATTCTGGTCAGATGGTCAGAGGGCCCAGCACCTACACTTGCAGAACACAGGTGTGACAGGTGCCTCATGTAATAAGCCAAAACGGCAGGAACGACTCCAGCTGCTCCATTTGTGGGAGCCGTGACCAAGCGCCCCATGCAAGCATTCTCTTCCTGGGGCAGGGGCAGTGACATGGAGTGTAAGAGGCCGCTGGAGGTCGCTAGTTCTCGCTGGCCTTCTCCCCAGGGAAGGAACAGAAGAAAACATCGCATGCTCGTGCAACTCGTGCAACTTGTGCATGTCCATACCAACCCCCACCCAACACATCCCAACACAGGAAATCTGAGACTTGAGAGTCTATTCCTCATCCTCCCAAATCTCAGCACACAGGATATCTCAGCAGATCTCAGCGTCCATCACGGCCAAGGCATAACAATTCAACCAGCGCAACTCATCCATCACAGGCTGCTGTGGTTTCCTAGGGCGGGAGCGCCTACACCATAAACCACACAGCTCCAGTACCAATAGTACCAGGCCATGTCAATGTTTTTTTCGGAACCGAAAAAAATGGTCAAAGATTACCAAAAATCACCACTGCATTGGATCATTTCGAAATATTTCGAAATTTCGAATACGGTCTGCAGAGTCCCGGTTGACACCGTGTCAGTTATACACAATATAAAACATAAAATATAATATGATACAGTATAATAGAATATAAAATATTATAATATAATAAAATAACATTTAAATTAATTTAATTTAATATAATTGAATATAAAATAATTTAACGTAATATAATAGAATATAATACAATATAATATAATATAATTTGATATAATATAAAATAATATAATATAATATAATATAATATAAGACAATATAATATAATATAATATAACATAATACAGTATAATATAAAATAAAATAATATAATATAATAAAACATAATATAATATAATATAGTAAAAATAATGTGAAACAAAAATATATTATAATATAATAAAATATAATAAAATATATTTTAATATAATATAATATATTAAAAAATAATATAAGATAATATAATATATTATAATATAATACAATGTAAAAAATATTTTAATATAATAAAACATAATGTGACAAACATAATATCATTTAATATAGTATAACATATAATATAATATAATAATATATAATAAAATATTATTCTAATATAATAAAATATAATGTGAAAATTTAATACAATATAATATAGTATAATACATTATATTTAATAGAATAGAATAGAATATGATATAATAGAATAGCACAGAATATGAGATACTACAAAATAATATAGTATAATGGGAGGGGCTTGTTGCCAGCGCCGGAAGACAAGGTTTTTTCGCGCCAAGTTTGCTGCGTGTTCGTTGATACCAGATCCGAGTCTTTACACATTTCGTTTATACTACTGCAAAGCTTTGTTTTTTTGGCTTTGGTCACTTTCAGCCATCTGCACCTTTCTGTGCACTGGCTGTTCGGCGTCTTCATGCGCTCAAGCTTGCAGGAGCCAGGTTTGCCATTCTGTGGATAGGTCTCACCCAGGACCACATAGGCCCATGCATCCGGTTGACCGACATCAGCGATCAGGAGTGGCGGTCGGTGACGGTTGTGCGATTTGGAAGAACCGTCAGTGTATATCACCAAACGGTCAAAAGCACTCAGGTCATAGAGTTGGCCCTCCGTTGGGGCACCTGCACTGATCCCTTGTGATACGAAATCTGGAACATCCAAGTGCTTGTACCAGGGACACAGCACTTCAGTTGATGATTTGAAAAGTTCCACTAGAACAAACATCACAGTCAATTCCCAAGAAGAGGCAATACTCTGAACTTCCCACTGGCTCTAAGCTTATACATGTCTTTGAAATCCAAATCGCAGCATTTCAGGTGCCACTTCTGAATCCGATGGTTCATCAGGAAGGAAAATCGTGTTGGGTAGTTTCGGCAGGAAATCGAGATTAACTTGATCGGTATTAAATTCCTCCCTTCGTCAGGATCTGGAATTAATTCACTTAAGGCCAGCGTCCTAGGGACGTGCTGTGTGTGTTGCAAAAGTGAAAGCTCCTCATGTGATTGTGGTTGATCAGGGAGAACAATGGTTCGACAATGAGCCTTCATGGTGTTTTCGTGGCCAGACCGGCCTGGCCATGGATGTCCTGCAAGCAGTTCATTGCCATCAATCCAGACCTGACTTGGCACCTCCGGATTCAATCGGCCATCAAGGAGTTCATAACCACACCTGTGTGCAACTGGTTCAATCTGGATATGTTCATCTGTGGTAATGACCAAGCGCATCATGTGGTGCTGACGGGAACTAATGAAACTGTCAAAAGCAGTAACCAGATTGGAAACCCGGCTCTCATGCGGATCCTGAATGATCACAATGTGGCCCCTCTTTCGAAGCGTGGTGGTGTCGGGACAACGGCATGCATTTCATGCTGAAGTTGGGAATCTAAGAAATCACTCCAAACGGCACGGATGCTTGCTTTTGATGCTTCGAAATTGCGAGACGATGTGACACTACGGCAAGCAAACCAGCGTGCGTATCAGTACCTGTGATCTACGAGCCATGTGATGAACAGTGCTGAAGTGGATTCTTGTTCAAATTCACTGTGACCTGTGAGCGCCGTCAGACCGGGTTGAAAAATGGCTGCCGCTGGACTGAATTGAAAGCGAGTGCATTCTTGGTCATCTGTTGGTGTTGGGAGGCCAACTGCGTGGGTATTGCCCTGTGCATGGATTTGCTGCTGCATGAATACAATGTCGTCAAAGTGACCAACATCTTCACCTGGCAAAATTGGCTGTTGAGCATTGGTCGGATCAATATGTACACGGATGCTGCAACGCGATGCCAATTCTGTGGCCAGCACTAAGTGACCAGGTGCTTCATAATGGTATCTACATGTGGCATGTCTGTCGTGATCAATGTACCATGTCTGCACATACATGTAGGCATCTCCATCAATGACTTCTCGTACCGCATGCTCAGAGAACAGAGAACCAAGATCCCATAATCATTGCTCCGTGCCATCATGAAGTGGCCTGGGCCGTCTTCCTAATCAGGTGGTCGGATGTGTCGACATGGATGGTTGGGATGTCAATGTCTCCCTGCAAGTCAACACCTTTGAGATTGTGATGGGCAGGCATGTCAGCATCAGGTGTGACAGGTTGGGGGGCTCTTGCTCAGGTCAGCAATGTCCCATGTGGGGTCAGGCGGTGGTGGAATAATGACCCTGATGTATGCACCATGATCAATTCTTCTGGGACCCGTGTCTTGTTTGACCCATCTCGCATTGCTGTGATAGATGAGGCAATCAGGTGGGTGCTAATCACAATAACCTGGCGTTCGGGTCATGAGCAGGATGTGACGCCTGACAAGAATCGGCACGATTCTGTACACCTGCCTGAGCACTGGTGGGGCTCGTGGCATGGTTCCACTTCCTGTTGGATGGTGCATGTCAGTATCAACAAGTACAAGTTTTTCAGTTGATCCAGCCGGGATATCAAGTACATGTTGTAGAATTATGGGCTCTTCAAATTCTGTTTGGTCTACAGGCCTTGTCTGCAAGTGGTGAAATGTCACCAAATCATCGACTGGTACATTGAGTAGTCTTGCCGCATCAATCAAAACATGGTCTAGAGTCTATGGTATCCCAACTCAAGCGCCCATGACTTTGTTGGTGTCCCAGCCTGTGGGTATGTACACCTGTGTGGATGTTATCACTGGCTGCAAGACTTGGTGATGGCATGTCGGAGTCATCATCTGGGTCTGGTGGACTCTTATCATCTGATTGGTCCGTGTTGTCATGGACCTCATTTGCATTTTGTGGTTCTGAAGAAGCCGATGTTCTACTTGCAACAGCAACAGCAAATGAGTCCCCATCTTGCGTGTCATGTACAGGTGCTATTGTAAACGGAATGTTTCCCATCCATGGCGGATGGTGCATTGATACAGTTGGCATCCATGGAGATACAATGCGCTTTGTACAATTTTGTGCCCACTCGTTTGTTCCGGCAATGAGGCAGCAACTGCATATGAGGCTCTGGCTGCTCTGTCATCTCTTCGTAAGATGGTCACAAGGCCTGCTCTACGTGGGGTATCAATGCCTTGCGATGAAAATCGAATCAAAGATGAATTCATGATTGTTGGCTGTGCGTGGTGGGTTAGGATGTACAACATCAAACATGGTTGTTTCAGGGGGCGTGATTCGGTCCCTCCATGTATTGATGATGTCTTGGAACCAGAGGCGCCAGTCGCCATTGATTTCAATAACTCGGTATTGGAAACACTGTGGTGCATGGACATGATGTACGCACCACGATCTCAGGAAGTCACTATCATGGATTCTAGGTCCTTCAGCAACTCCTGCGTTTTGGAGTGCGTCAAAAAGATTTTGGACCGATTCCGGAACTTCATGAAGAAAGTGATTAGCGTCTTCAGGGTCCTCCCTATCTGATTCATGGTCATGATCATTGCGATTGAGCCAGGAGGATGGAACATTATAAAATGCATCTGTTGTACGCAATCGGACTGGTTGTGCAATTGGAGCACCTGAACTACGCACTTGTTGGCGTGGACGCTTGGACCACGGCTTGTCAGTCCACTTTTCCAATGCTGCAGAATGCATAGAACAATTTGCCATGAAATTTCATCATCGAGTCCAATGTGCATCATGATTTCTGAGTTATAACTAACCCTATGGTCAGAATTCTCTCTCTGTCAAAAGGCTGCGAAATCGGAGATTGATGTGAGTTTTCTGATGCAATTGCGGAATTGGATGCTATGCAACTACGGAGCTTTGCAACATGTGTGTGCTGAGCTGCAACGTCGGATGCATGTCGGTCGGATGCACATCGCAGGAAATGCAGTGAACTGTCCTGGGACAGATGCAGCGAGTGCTCATCGGGTGCATTGGCAAGATCACACCGCAAATCTGATAGGCGTGTGCAAAATTGATCACACAGCACATTCCAACGCAAATCCCAAGCTGAAAGCACTGCAGTGAATGGCTTGTGATATTTGGGGCTAGTTAGATTCGAATGTTGCCAATGCAAAAAACAGTCATGATCAAAATCGGTAAGCTGTCCGGTGCATGCTGCATGAGGATATGGCAATGTCTCATAGGCATGAGCACCATCGGCTTTGGAGCAGGCGGCATGCAGGCTATTACTCAGAACTAGTCCAGCACCGCCGGCCCTCACTGCTTCGGAACAGTGGGTGGAGAAGACTCCATAGCACCACCACCTCCAAATCGCTCCAATGCGCGAGGGCGCTTTTTGTTGCTTGGTTCCGGACTGTCGTCTTCGACTTCAAGGGTCATTCCAGGTTGGCAAGTTGTTGCCACTTCTACCCCAAGAGAGGCTTGGGTGCCGACCGAGTGCTGCTTTTCCCAGCCCCATGCATTCTGTGTCTCGTCCCAGTTTTGGGACCATTCGTCCAATCCAACATCCTCCCCCTGATGGGTGTTCTGTTTGGGTTGTGTGTTGTGTCTGGTGCCACTGCTCCAGTGTGAGTGGCAGATGGCACAAGTAACAACTGTTTTCCGATTGATTCTGTAACACTGGCTGCAACGCATCGTGCTGATCTGTCTGTAAATGCACTTGATAAGACTTCTGTCCTTCGAATGGTGTGTTGCCAAGGTATGCAGAGTTCGCCTGAGTGCAGAGGGGCGCAGAAATCACGTGTCCTGTGCGATGCAAAAACCACGCCCTGCGCGCCGAGGCCCTTTGCAAGCGCTGATGCCTGCAACGTACCAAACTGGTGCGGAATCTTGGATGATATCAAAGGCGACGACCAAGATGAGGAAGACCAAGAAGGAATGAGCACATAAATTGTAACTTGCAAAAATTCACATGATGCACAATATCACCAGGGCCGGCCAATTCAGTGAAGAAAACGGTGCAAAGATGTGTCGGAATTGCAATGAGGCCTCCTCCCGGTGCAGCCTCAATGAAAAAATTATCCCGAAGTCCTGTGTCGGTCACTGCAGAACCACTTGTATTCAGTGTAAGGCCACTGCAGAACCAAGCAATGTGGACATTCCCCAGAAAAAATCCAATGAAATAAATAGATGTAATCCGGTGTAAGTCACCGCAGAACCAGTTGTAAAAACCAATGACCGTGAATCAGGTAGGTAACGCCAGTGCAAAACAGTTCAATGTTAAATGGTGACCAGGCCAGAAAAATTGGAGTGCGCGTTCACGTTGAGGCCAGAATAAAAGGGGAACAAGTCAAACCCAATTAGATGCCAAAAGTACAGCACAGATCCAATGTAGCGATGGGGTTTTATTCGGGTTTACCCCCTAACCCAGAAGGTCCGGCAGATGAAGCGACAGCTCCACATGGCACAAAACCCGCGGGCTGGTCATAGATGGCCCGCTAAGGTCTCACTGGGCGGATCGGGGGGCGACTTGATCGAGACCTTACATACTGTATCTATATATATATATACACATATAAATTGAATGGTATAGACGTCATATGACGTCATCTTGTCGTCAGCTGCAGGCCACGCGTTTGGGAGCAGCGCGTAGACAAGGTACAACTCTTCACCTTCGTGCCTTTGCTCCTGCAAAACAAGCGGCAACTGATGGCAACTGTGAACATGCCAAACCTCCTCTCTTGCGGAATTTTGTCAAGATTGATTCCGGAAGCATGCGCAAAGTATCCCAAAATATCCCAAGGCATGATCTTAGAATCTTGACTTCCTCTTGCATTCCTAGTGTTGCTGAGTTCCTCCAAGCTCCTATGTAGGAGTTTCCTACGCCTCAAAAACGCTGACCTGCATGGCGGTAGCATAGAGTCGTGGGGCGCGCCGACGGATCTGCAAAGGGCCCGGCAACAAATCATCGGTTTTGGACGGTTCCAACCTTGGCAAGCTCCAAAAGCACACAGACCACACAAACGTCAGAACATCTCTCAGAACATAAGTTCTCTCATACTATTGAGAATGTATCGAGCACATTCATGTCTTCACTGCAATTCTCTGCGACGTAGCTCACTGGCTCACTTGGTTTCGTTTCTGTGTGTTTTGTCTCTCAGTATTCCATCTGGTCTTTAATTTAAAAAAAAAATGAACATACGATGAACTATACCATCTCAGAGAAATGTCTGAACAAAACAGTCAACAAAAATAGATATGAATAACACAGACATCAAGTTTCAGAAAAATACGGATTTTCTGGATTTTCTTTGGAAAAATTCTCTGTGTCTTTCTATTCTTTCTCTTCTTTCTCTATTTCTGTTGAAAATTTTGGACGCGACCCACGCGACCCACGTTGGATGCAGCTCTCCATGACGGCCCAGAGCTCGGCCAAGCCCACGCGGACCTCCTCTGGGCTCCTCTGTGCCTGAAACGAACGAAAGCTTTTTGCAAATTTTGAATTAATAAATTAATATTAAATATAATTTTGTTAAACAAAATTAATAATACATTAATATAAACTTAATTTTGAAATACATTTTTTTAAAGATAAATTTAATTCATTTAACATTTAAAGAATGTGGCCTAGCTATTTCTTGTTAATAGAAATATTCTTTTTAGAAGGTTCTGCCTCTAGAAACGAAAATAACTTCATGTATTTGACTACAAGTATTAATTTCTACCAGTAGTACCGCACAAGGCGGTGGCGGAAGTTTCAAAAATAGGAAACCTATAGGAGAGGTTGGTTGTTGTGAATCAGGGATGGCAAAGCGAATCCACTGATGGACCGAAAGGTGCTTGAGGTCTCCTCTCTGTCTCTCTCGTTCTCTGACTATCTACCTACCTATCTATCTTCTATGTATCTATCTATCTATCTAGCTAGCTATCTATCTCTCTCTTTCTCTCTTTCATCTAATTACCTATCTACCTATCTACCTATCTACCTATCTATCTATCTAACTATCTATCTATCTATCTCTCTCTCTCTCTCTTTCATCTGTCTATCTGTCTAGCTGTCTACCTGTCTATCTATCTATCTATCTATCTAGCTGTCTACCTGTCTATCTATCTATCTATCTATCTATCTAGCTGTCTACCTGTCTACCTGTCTATCTGTGGTGCAGTGTCATTCAGTGTATTGTGGTGTAGTGTAATGTAGTGTAGTGTAATTTCGTGTAGTGGAGTGTAGTCGTGTAGTCGTAGTTGTAGTGTAATGTAGTGAAGTGTAGTGTAATGTAGTGTAGTGAAGCGAAGCGACATCTGAAGCTCCAAAAGTGGTCCGAACCCCTAGTGTTTTGTACATTTTGACTTCGAAATGTGCTTCGCGCCACAACGGCGTGCACTTTTTCGACATCTCAACTTCCAAAAGTGGTCCGGACCTGGTGTGTTTTGTACATTTTGACTTCGACATGTGCTTCGCGCCACAACGGCGTGCACTTTTTCGACATTGCAACTTCCAAAAGTGGTCCGAGCATGGTGTGTTTTGTACATTTTGACTTCGAAATGTGCTTCGCGCCACAACGGCGTGCACTTTTTCGACATTGCAACTTCCAAAAGTGGTCCGACACTGAGGTGTTTTGTACCTTTTTACTTCAAAATCTGCTTCGCGCCACAACGGCGTGCAACTTTTCATCTCTCATCTCCCCAGATGTCTCCGCACCCGCCGCTTTAGCGAGCTTACTTTTCGACCCACCGGAGCCACAAATCATTGGAAAAACGCAGTGTTTCGCGACTTTCAGTGTTTCACGACGTTCCTGCCTTTCGCGCACCTGCATCTTCTTTCTTCTGATCTTTTCTCTTCTGACTCTTCTCACCTCTGCTTTTCATCTGTCCATATTGTCGGAAGTTTCACTTCTAAACTTCCTTCGATTAAATATTACTATTTTCTTAAACAGTATCAACAATATTCACCAGCTCAGCAATTCGTGGATGCGTTCATTGTTGTCTGGATTCCTGGTCCTCCTTGTGGTTTTCGAATGTTCGAGCCATCACGCCAAGCAACAATACGTTGACAAGGAAATCGCGTCGGTACCTCCATCGGAAGGGCTTGTCCAGACTCAGTGGGAATTGTGCAGAGTCAGATTGGTGCTGGAGAGCCATCGTCCTTTTTCTGAAGACAATCGACAAGGATTTTTTTCCACCACGGCTCATTGCCAGGATGCTGGCGAAGAGCTATATGCATGGATGTGCACCTGTGGGCGCATCAACAAAAAGAATGCATTCACCTGTGCGATTTGCGAAACCACTGGTCCCCCAGAGGGCGCCAGAAGGGGCGCATTGGCACAAGAAGTGCTTCAAGGAAAGGGAAAGGCAAGGAAAGGCAAGGGCAAGAATGTCGAGGGCAAGGGCAAGGTTGGGGATGCAGCTGCGGAAACAGCTTTGACTTTACCATTCAGCACCCAGCGCAAGGGTGGACAGGATGTTCAACCTGCAATGGCATGGCCTTCGCTGGATACGACCGGATATGACTCCCTCCTTCAATTTGCCACGTAGGTCACCATTTCCGGCCCCAAGTGCTGCGGCCAGCAGTGTGGCAGCTGCCTCTTCGAGCAGCATTGCCGAAATGGCAAATGCACTCAGGAATGCGACAAGGACTCCGCCAGATATGCAAGAGTTTTTGGACCGTGCAGATCAAGAACAAGGCAAGAACAACATCAAAGCCTTGCGCACAGCAACGACCAGCCTGGGGCCTGGGGCGAGCTCAGAAGCAGCTACGAGAGGTTCTAGCAACAATCCCAAGGACCAAACACCTCACGGATGCCATCATGATTTGGGAGAATCAACTGGAGAGCTATCGACAGGGCCAAGCCCAAGTCTGCGATCAAGCTGCCAGAGCACGAGCAAATATCTCAGCAGCACGACGGTTGATTTCAGAACTCAATGCACAAGTGGGAGGGACACAGGCTCCACCACCACCGATCACTGCCGAGGAGACTGCAAGCGAAGAGACCGATACCGAGCGCAACAAGCCGCAAGATGCTTTGAGAGCTTACGCAAATTCATTGGGCGTGACCCGCCCCAAGCGCTCGTACCGGATCAATCAGCGCAGACAACCCCATCAGACGAGGAGTGAGATCGAAACAACAAACTACAACGCCCCGCCGATCCTGGCAAAGAATGCTCGTGAGCATCGGCCGTGCACTATCAGTTTTACAAATGATTTGCATGAGGCCATGTTTTGTGTCAGCCCTTTCATTCATTCGGTGATGTGGGAAGTGGACTATTGCAGTCCTAATGCCGTCATTTTGAATGCTTGGAGGTTGCGATGGGAAGTGCTGGCTCACGAATGTCCAGCATGGCAGAATGATGTTCACCGAAGTTTCTGTTACCAAGAACCCTCTTATGGTTTCCAACCAATTTTGTTTGCAGACGTTTCTCAAGTTCCTTCTGATGAGCATTGTCGAAAGAGACAAATCCATTTTGCAGAAAGCACTTATTGATTTCGTAATAGGTTTGTATGATTCACTTGAGATGCAAGCGATTTAAATTTTCATTGGCTTGCTGCATACTTGGGATCAAAATCTTTGGTCAATCAGCTATGTCAATACTGATAATCGTGTCGACCCAGATGAACATAGATGCCCCCGTGACGGACCGCTGTCTTTACAGGCCGTCTTGAACACCGGGGGATCCTTGTCAGTACCTGAAACCATCGCATGTAGGCTCACTGATGACTATCACAACACTCCACAGGAAGTCCGCAGACAAACTGCGCCTGAAGGTGAAGGCACTTTCCAAGGGCCTTTTCCAATCCCTGCATTTGCCCGTGCGATCTTGACTCATTTGAATCTCTTATCATGCCCATCAGTGGCAGTGCAAGCAGTCCAGAATTGTTGAGCTAGATCGCGATCATCGGACATGGCAGAATGAAATTTGCAGGGCATGGCCGGACCAGATTGTGCAAATTGAAGACATCCAACTGCATACGATATCACCGGACCCTGATCGAAGTTATCTCACTCAAAAGGTTTTTGCAGATGTAGTGATTTCTCAGGGAATTGATGAAGAACGCCTGGCAGACCTGGTTTCAATTTCAATACGGATTCCGTCTCCAGATGGACACCGTCAAGCTATTGCGGTTGCTGTTTCGTTTCCGCCTATAATGAATGGATGTCAGATTGCTCAGATGGCAGATGTCCTTCAGTGGTGCCATATCGGGAACGCGTTACCTTCTTTCCACAGCCTTTGCATTTTGCCGCTGTCGGACAAAGTTTGGGCAGTCATGTGGTTCCCAATGTGCGTGCACATGCTGCAGATGGGGCGGCCCGTTCCAATAATAGTCAAACTAGGGCGACCGCCGCACACACGGGCCAAGACAGTGATCAAGACTATGAGCAGGATGAAGATGTGCCAGAGAGACCATCAGACTTTGAATCACCATCTGATGATTCCATGCCCAAGTCTGTGCGCAGTCTTGAACAGTGGCAAGGCCTGCATGCATATCGTCTTGACCAACCTATGTTCCACTGCTTTGCGCGATGGGGCACGTACAACAGCATCCTGCTTGACGTTGTCAGATTTCTCCGAATGAGACTTCGCAATGTAGTACTGGGTTTCATCGTATAGCTGTTCCACTGGTAGGCCAGCATGAGGCGGAAGAAGCTGTGATTCTACAGCATGTTGACGATATCACGCCAGATTCTTCAGAGCAACTTGTCATCTTTGAAACTGAAGTTCATCATCAAGCGAATATACGGGGCATTGTGCGGCGTCCTGTTGCCACAAGAAGAGTTCATAAAACTGATCCTTTTGTGACACGAAACACTCTTTTGCAGATTGCAAGATTGGCTCTACTGCTTTCTTCAGGCAGAGCGCTGTTTAGTCCTGCTCAATACCAATCTCTGGGCGGAGCAGGACCAACGGGTGAGACGGATAGAAAATGGAGGGTATGCCAGGACTGTGGCTACACCTCGCATTGACCCGACACTCGCCATGGAAGTCGCTCTTGATTTTGCAGTCTCAGTTGATGCAGATTAACAAGCCGAAGTAGAGAGTTGTTCCATGTTGTTCCCAAAACAGCAGAGCCACAAGATCACCCACACTGTTCCAAGTAGCAGCTATGAGATCTGTGGTTGAACCCTCCAATAAGGGCAGCACTTGCAAACTTGATCAATCTCATCATTATCAAGGACCCAACCTTTTTGCGGGGGGAGGACTGGAACCCAATTGGCGACCACTAGCGACAGTTGCAGAACCTCGATTCCCCATGGGTTGATCAGGTTTTGTTGGTTTTTGATCAGAATCCATCCAGATCACAAAGAGTTTGATAAATTCCTGAAATGGCAAGCTGAGTTTGTGAAGACTCTCTGTGGGTGGCTCACCCAAGATGAAGAAGACTCGCTAAGAGCAGCAGGCAAATGCATACTATGTAGATCTTACTGGAAGAGCCAAGTCTTCACAATATTTGACGTGCAGCAAGGAATTTTC